ACACCGCCTACCTCATTCGACACCGCCTACCTCATTCGACACCGCCTACCTCATTCGACACCGCCTACCTCATTCGACACCGCCTACCTCATTCGACACCGCCGGCTCGAATTGGTCAATTGGTCCTCTTTTGGCCTACCAACACCAAGCGGGCCGCGTCGCACCCACATGCAGACGTGGGCATCTCGATGCTCCCCGAAACGGCGAACAATCAACAGGCAACCACAGTCTGTGACTTTTTCGGCTCAAGCAGCGATCAACATTTACGTGCTTTTGTGGTCTGTTGTCACATTGTCTGCCTCGGCACCTCCAGTCTAGAATTTACATACTGTCGGCCCGCCGTTTTGTCCCACTCTTGGTGCGCCACTTGTACTACCTGAAGAACTGCCGGGGAAGGTCTCCCAACCGTTGTGCTGGCCACCACAATAGGCAAAAAAAGATGAACTTCTGAGTCTCGTAAGTCGTAATATGCCTTTGCGTGGAATTGCCTCGCATTGAGCCATTTATGCTTCAGGCTGAGTGCTCCCCTGTCAATTCTCAGAGGTCCTGGTACAGGACTTGCACAAGTGGCAGGCACTCCGAGGGTGTGACAAATACGGAAGGCGGTGCGGTTAATGCCCCTTGCTCACCGCCTTCCACGTTCGCTCCTGCCCAGCACACCGCCTACTACATTGGGCTCTAACCTTTGCCACCGACAGGTCCTCCGGTTCTCACTGCGGTTCAGTAGTGTCTGGAGGCTGCATCCAAACACACCGCCCATGAGCCACGGCGGGGAGCCACTCCACAACTTGTGTCCGCTACGACCCCCCCCTCGCCCGCCGCTTCGGGTGGTCAGTTTTGGCCTTGCATGGCCTTCTTATGTACGTCATCAAAACTCATCAGGTACTGGATGATGCAGGTACGCAGGGAGCTTGTGGCCTTTCAGCGTGGCTTCCAGAAATGGGACTATCAGGGCCGGCTTTGCCTGCGGGGATGAGTTTCTGGGGGTTGTGGATGAGGTCGCGGAAGTTCACCTTTTTGCCGCCATGGGGGTGCAATTCCCGCACCCCCCACCCGGCAGTAGGTAGTCGACAAGATGGCCACTGGGGAACTGTAACCCTTTGCCCACTGAACATAAGGCTGGTTTCTGCCTTTGCCCTTCAGTGTCATTCCTGGTTGCATTCTCTCCAGCTGGACAAGTGGCCGCAACAGGCGTGATTTTGCCGCGAGGGCCATCGCATCCATTCGCCGCTATGGGGGCTTGTTGCCGTGAACTATTCTGGCCTTGAGTCTCTTACTATCTTAAGAGCCGTAAAGGCGTCATGGGCGAGCCTACGTCCACATACGACTACCTCCATCACCACCTCGTCTTAGACCAGTTTCTGGACACACCAGAACGAACCCATATCCCTGTCTCTACTGTACAGTACAACACAGTATTGTACCTGGGCCATACCGGCCCTGGCAATAACGGTATTGCATAAACGGACAGGCCCAGAAGATGGCGTGGCTACCGTAAGTCCCGTAATGCAAACGTACGGCTAAGTGCTCACCATTGTGACGCTGCTGTCCCTACTCTGGACTTGCGTCCACATGCGTGTTCCTGGGCATCGCGTGGCCACCATCGGACGCGGCAGCAGCTTACCGCACTAGATCTGCGCATCCAGAATCAGGTCCTGGGCCCCATAACGTCTTGCATAGAAATGCACACAGTTCCACGCAACGACGTCGGGAAAGTGGCATGACCTGTAGCACGTCAGGAAACCGACTTCAGCCGCGACGTGTAGTAACGTACGCCCGAAGAATGTGCCAAGACCGCATGTGCTATGGTGATCTGCTTGTCAAGCTTTGTACGATGTCTGCTACTGTATTGCCATAGTCGACAGTTAGACGGCACAAACCCCGGCGCTGCGTCTCGGCACAGGCTCCACGTCAGCGAGCGGCATGTCTGGAACCGGACGACGCCGTCCACATGAAGGGATTGGACGAATAAATGGCATCTTGTCCGTCTTCGCGCCCTGCATGGCGGCCTTCGTCCGGGTTGAATGTTGATGGCCCAGACGGACGATGTGGCCACCACCATTCCGCAATGATCTGCGCGGCAGAACTGGCCGTCGCCATGCAACCACGTTGCGAAGGTGACACGTACTGATGCTGCGCAATGATCTGCACGGCAAGTTTTGGTTGCCGCTACGTACCAATGTCGAGAAACTGACATGTACCGTAGCTGCCAACACGACGAAGAAGAATTGGTCGGCGCACGTCTCTGCCCTTGGTGGCCTGCATGTCAGGCATCGGACGAAGCGGGTCCCGGCCGACGCATCCACTTACATGTTTCACGTCACTAATCGACGACATCAAGGAGCGGAGGAAGTGAGATGCGGGCAACGGCGCGACCAGAAGCCAACGATCGGTGGGTAACTGCCACGTGAAGAAACAGGACAATCGCACGCTCTTGAAAGAGTAATCTGCGTGTCGAAACTGGACGGCGGACCCGCAGCGTCGCACAGCACATGGCCCTGGCACCACGCAATCCAAATCAGCGAGCAGCATGACACGAGTTGGACGACGCTCTCTACGCATGGCACGGATGTCATGCTGCCACCTCATCTGGATGCAGCCCCATATCCAATTACTTCTTTCTGGCTGCGCGAGCCAGATTGACCACACTCGACCAATCTTCAACGGTGTGGTCTGCTTGTCAGGAACCGGAAGACAAGGTAGCGAGAGATACCGCTCAATGACGCCCAGAAAGCGGCGTCTGGGTCTGGTCAACTGTCCACTTACTCCATGTCCATACAGAAATTGGCGCATTTTCTTAATGCCACAACTCGCTCCTCCTCCATGACAATGCTGGCGTGGAATGAAAAGTCTCTACCGGACAACTGTACCACATGGGCCAATTCATGCTTCTCCTTGGCCGGGGTTATGGAGCCTACCTGTCTCCGCACTTTCGGTGCGCAAGGGCGCACGGGATACAATAGGGCCAATTGATCACAGACTTCCACACTACGGCAGAGCCGGCCACATGCACAAGTCCCTATGCTGGCCTTGGCCGGAGATGGAACATTGTACGAAATGGCAGCAAGTGAGGTCACGGCTCCAATATGGGACAATGCTCTGAAGCGGAATGTGTGCGTCACTATTTGTACAGTATCAGTCCAGGAAACTGGGAATTGCAGCAGCGCGAGTGGTCAATGAGCGAACAAGTCGTGACGGCCTACAGTACTGTACACGCAATATTCGCCGTCGCAGCAGCGGCTGGTGTCCAAGATTTGAACAACTGTCGGGACTGCCGCTGAGCCTCACAACGTGAAATAGGTTCTCAACTTCTGCCTGTATAAGCAGCCCGTCATTGCCATGCCGGGCATGAGGCGCTTGTCTGTGGATGCTCTATGGTAGCGGTTCACAAGGAACACAAGGACGGCGGCGGGGAAGGAGGCGTGCGGGAAGTACCTTCCTTCGCAGTATTGGCTGCGTGCTCAGCGGATCAAGGCCATCGATGACGTTGGGTGTTGCACTGCCCGTCAAAGGATGTCGAACAATGTCGCTACCGAGATCGAACACGCCGTCAGGCATTGCCTGGCACGTTGGCAGCACGCACATAAGCTACAGTAGTTCAGGGGCTATGTTTGTCGTTTGGCCCATGCGCCACAACGTCTATCATGGGCACGTGCCGCTTTATTTTCTCGAGCCTATATAGTCGGCCTCTTCCGACATACAACGCTCCGAATCCTCAGCCTCTCAACAGTATCGCTGCATAATTTCTTGCAACCAGACGACTTCTGATGAATAGAACCTATGAATTCGGGGGGGTGACGTATGGTCCAAATCCTTTTCACAGGCAAACAGGTCGGTTACCCCTTCCCAGAAAGGACAGCGTCCTGACATATCGGCAGGAAAGACGATGCATGATGTATCAAACGACGACGCTCCACCGCCGTACATAGGCACAGGTCTACGGAAGAGGAGTCTGCCTTTCGAGTGGGCATCCAAGAGTACTTCACAACGCGAGGCAGACGTCTTGCGACATCTTTTTGACTCTTAAGGCTTGTGTCCAGAGGAGATAGATGGGAAATGGGTCTCCTATGACAAAGGAGGCATCAGCGCAGCCAGTGGCAAGAATATCGTTCAGTTGCCGGTGGCATGCAGAAGATTCCCTGGTTCGCGACGGAGCCAAAAGAGTCCTTATCGGACGACTGGAGGAAAGAAGGTACGGCAGGTTGAAACTCAGAATGTGGCTATTTAACGCCATGAACGGGCTATTGTGGCCATCCTCGGGGGAGGATGAGCCTCGCAAGGCAATCACAGAGGTACGGTATACATATCGGGATTCAGATTTCGAGCCTACACAACAGCCCAGGAGGCACTTCTCCCGGGAGCCGCTCTGCTAAGACTGATGTTGTAGTCTGGATTCTGGTAATGCTGAACTTGGGCGCTGGCGTTGACTCTTTCATGCAAGAAAGTTTGCACAGTTTGCCTGTGGCCTCCCTTTGTGGTGGCCTGGAGAGTGCATTCGTACTCGCCGCCAGGTCGTTGACGTCTTGACTATGAGTAGTTGAGGTACATTCGTATCCGGCTTTTGTGGTGTGGCTCATACCACCATCGGTGGATGTCACGACCGCAGCGTAACTACTGCTGTTGTCTGGGCAAAGCTATTGTCTCTTGCGAGCTGGCCACAGCACAAATGGGCACCTCCCGCCCACCTGGAAGTCCTAACGAGCGGGCGACGCAAACCCAAGTAGGTGTGGAAACAAGGAAGGCGGGGAGCTGCGCGAGAAGGTAGCGGGAGGACTGAACAACAACGAGGGACCATCTCACTCGACGCTGTTGGCACTCAACACCCCGGGCGAGCAGACGCAGCTGGTGGTGGAGCCGCGCGAGGGCGCCAACTTCGTGCGCGAGGACCAGTGCAACTACTTTGTCGGCGCGCTGCAGCTGTTTGAGCCGCGTTGAGAGGCCGTGCTACAGCAAGGGACGATGACGACCAGGCCTACCATCCACTCCCAGGGAGCGGAATGCTGTAAATGCGAGAATCCAACCCCCAAAGCTCCTGTCCCTGCGTACTCTCCGACCTAGAACTGGCGGCATTACTTGGTGTCACTGGCTCCTCGCCGTACGATCGATCACCCGTCGGCACCTCTGGACATTTGATAGCCGCTACGAGTCACACTGCAGATTGGCGCGAGGAAAAAGGTGGGACGCAGTTCGATAGGCGTGGCATCATGCCAAAGCGGGCTGTTACATCAAGCTGAGCACCTCTGGCATTCCGCCCCACTGGATGACACATGGCCTCCAGCGCCACCTTTCCTCCAGCGACACCTTTTCCTCCAGCGACACATTTTCCTCCAGCGACACCTTTTCCTCCAGCGACACAATTTTCCTCCAGCGACAC